ATGATATATCTCCTCAACAAATTGCTTCTTTCTTTATGTATCTGTTTCATAATTATAGCTTATCAGGTTCTTCCACAGTTATTTTCAGATCTACGTTATCTATCATCTTCAGTTGCCATGGAAATTATCAATACCTTTTGTCTTATTATTCAAAGACTTCTTCTGAGTCTTATGTCTTCCAGTGATCACAAGTTCGTATTGTCCTGAATGAAACTTTGGTTTGGTATAATGTTTCTTGGCTTCACCCCATTTTTATCAGTAAATAAATCATTTGCTCTATACTTTTTATAGAAAATCATAATTTCTTATATCACTGGAACCAGTAATATCAATTTTGATTTGCACATGCTTCTTGTATGTTGTTTTCCTTGGAAAGCATTATACTTGTACCTTGATAATGCCTTCCAACTTAAAACTTGGGTTGAAAGAGAAGGTAAGCATTATTTTTTACCTGTTGTGTAACCTACCTTAACTTATTCTTTTTTCTCTGTGTGTGTGTTCAGAAGAAGACCTTTTATGTCCCGTTAGGACTATTCTTTTTTATATTGCACATACTGAATCTTTCAGTGTATCTCAGTAAAGGTTGTTATACCTTACAATGAATCATGCTCTCCAGATATTGCTTCATCTATGTTAACAAATTGACTTTTGCAATTGGTTCATCTTTTTTACAGTTATATTAATTTTTGGTTACATCTAGCCATTTGGCTGTGTCTTTGGTCACTGTACCCATAAGATATTTTATGGGCCGGCATGTGAACAAATCCAATTTTAAAGTTTTAGTTGCATCATACTGCTGTCTCTTCAGCTTATGATTATTGAAGCCAAATGAAATTCCTACTAAGTGAGTTGTTCCTCCTATGTTGTGCATGATAACCCAAGTATCAATGTACTGTCAACACCCTTTGTTTTGTTTTTTACCAATTGCAAGGTGTTTAAAGATATGTATTCCTTAAAAAAGAAACATAGTAACACATTCTGGATGAGACTCCATTTGAACTCGTATTTTACATTTTGCATATACCTGTGTGATTAGACTAGATAATTTCCTCCCTCTGTGCTGGTACTTCATGAGAAGATGATACCCTCTGCAAGTGGACAGAGAATGTCATGTTGTGGCTGATGATACCTCATCAGGTATCTTTCTAACCTTTTTGTGCATGTCCTTGTGTTGCATTAGAGACAACTGTACATGATGTCTCATATCTCCATCCTAAATTGAGAACAGTTTATTATTTTATTTTCTTAACATATTTGATGTAACCATTGCACTGTTTTACAGTTGAGAAGCACATACTTGAATCTTCCGGTTTCTTTCCAATCCTCCCTTTGGTGCTGCTGACTTGGCTGGCCTTATTGGATGTGTCTGTAGAGGGCCTTAGCCTCAGAAGCATGTCGAATCAATAGATATTACTGTTCTGCTCCTCAAAGAATCTTCTACTGTAAATACAGAACAATGTATTGCAGTCTGACCATGATTATCTGTTATGCCACTACCTGTGACCTCGTCCTCAAATGTTACAATTCCACAGGTAAATAAATACGACTTGAATCCCCATTTTCATATATTATTTAAATGGTAATGAGGATTAAAAGGATACCCTTCTCAGAAGAATGTGTTTTCTGAGTGTCTTCATTTAGTTTGGTCTTTTGTGAGGAAGGTCCACTCAATAAATCTAGTCCATTGAATGCAGTTGAGTTGTAGACCCCCTTCAATTTTTGTTCCCCTTTTCATCTCATCATAAGTATTCTATTTCTTTTTGTATATCAGAGGTAAGTCTGCCTCTTTTTGAATTTCACATTTTAAGAATTAACTCTCAAAACGGTCGATCAATTCGACCGACCTCGTAACTACTTTGGACCCATTATAGTTTCAATACTATAACTTTTAATACAGTATGTGTATCTTCACAAAATGTGGCAGACTTTTAGCAAACATTACATATCATTCATACACAGAAAATCAGTTTTTTATAATGAAGTATATTTACTTAGATTTGTCTGTGGATATATTTAATCTTTTTTGTGGCTAGTTCAAGTGCAACGTAAATTTTAAACTAAGATTAAAAATACTTTTCTTTGTCTCAAAAATCTCAGATTTCATTTGTGTAACTTCTAAAACCTCCTAAATAAATATAAAATTTTCTTTTCAGTAAAACTTTATAATTTGTATGTTACTTACCTCTACCCTGACAATATATTTGATTTTTCAGCCAGTAGACAAATCATCAAAGTATAATGAGCAGCTGTACCCTTTTTCTTTGTTATTGGTTATGAAGTTTCAAAGTACTTCTCTTGTGAGTTCGAACAGCTAAACATTTCACATATATTTTTGGTGTTTATTTTACTGTCAACTACTAAAGTATAACCCTGCTGAAAATAAAGCAGCAAATCACCACTTGTGTCATTAGACTGTTTACTTGACACTGTAATATGGTACTATCGAGAGCAACAAAGAAAGAACAAAAAAATAAGCTGACATGATGTTGGACTTATTTTACAATGTTTACAACAAGAATTAACCAGAGTAATAAGATTGAGCTTTGAATCTGTAAAACATTTATTATATGGTTTGGAGTCAGTTCAGTAAATATTGCAAGTGTTTGAGTATTGGTCATCCTTCTAGGATGTTTGGAATTTAGCAGTATACCATGTAGGTATACAAAGATATTATTTGCACTCATGGTTATTAAATACTATTTATTTACAAGTGCTTAAATTTTAGTTATTTTAATTAAAACATAGAAGAACAAATAAAAAATGCTTAGAAAAACAAAGATTTCAAGTACTTACAGTGTTATGAGATTTTGTACTCATGCGTCGTATGTGCTAAGCCTCATTTATTCTTCCGGGTGGAGAGTGAAGAAACATTAATTTTTGTAGGCTTAAAATATAAATTTTAGAGAACAAAAGAATTATCATAATTACCATATAAGTGCACAAGAAAACCCATGTAATTTATCTAGTTTCTAAAATAGCTATATGTGACTTTAAAAATATCTCGAATCTATTCAGAGCAACAACATAGTCATCACACTTTAACAGTTTTGGTGAAATTATGACTTTCTCCTTCAAGCTATTTACATATGACTCTCAGATTTACTTACACAGGAAACTGCTCTTTCTCTTGGTAGCAAACAGTTCAAAAGAAGTTGGTGGGACTAGACAAGAGGTTTCAAAAGAATGGAGTAGTGGGAGGAGCCACTCTACTAGATTGGCTAAATATAATATAATGACATCTCTGCAAATCAAAGAGTTGGGAGGTTCTTATTTTATATTCTAACTTGTCTGTATCAAATTTGAGTTTCTAATTTGTTAACTCACTGTACACGCTGTATGGTAGGCATAATAAAATATAAACTGAGCAATAAGACAATAGGAGATGCTATGTGACAAACAAAAATTGATATTTAGCTTTTTTCTTTATATTTCATTTTAAATTAAGAAACTAAAACATATATAATATTAAAATATGAAATATAATCTATGTTTTGATGTCAATTCCATTGACATAAGTAATAGTAAAGTTATTTAATATAATTTTAAAAATAATTCTCTATAAAGTCATGACATGCACTCTTTAACCTGCCCACAGTGAAAGGGTTAAAATGTATTGATGACTGGGTAATACATGCATGTTAACCTCTTACCAGCTTTTGTATTTTTGCCACATATATGGTGAATATTCATTTTTGCATCGATTAACTGGCAGAACTGATATTTCTTATTTTCATTCATCATCATCTTTCTTCAACAGGCCTAGTGCTTACCTAATTCTAGCAGTAACTATAATTTTATCATCAATTGATAGAACAAAACAGTCTTCCCAATCTTTGATTACATATTTCATTATTATTATTATTCTATGCAAAACTTTGTAAAGCTTTAGAATACACTCTATAACTTACTAATTCACATATACTATCTTATAAAAAAGTAAACAAACAAGTATTAGGGGAAAAAAATATATTGCTAAATATAAAAACTTTGTAGGGCTGGCTACTGAACTTGAAAAAAGGAACCAAACAAGATAAGGATGGAAGTGGACCTGTCACTTGATCCGGTTAATGAGCACATAGCAGACTGTCTCTACTTTACATGGAGAATAAAATCCCTACATTATTGTTTAGTTGGTCCAGCTTTCTGTTTTGGCTGAGCAAATGCATCATCTAATCCAGCTTCTTCACTTGTAGTATTTATACATTCATATTCTAAAGGTATTTCAGTAGTACTATCTGTAAAATTAAAAAAATACTGCACAATGACAACTTGCTCTTCCTTGTCTGTCAGTCAATGACATAGGTGAAAGATCAAAGATTAATATTGGAAAACATTTTACCAACATGTGCTGCCATCTATGCATAGGCTATGGACCTTGCTTGTACACTTTACGTGAATTGTTTGAAAGTACTGTAAACACAAGGCTGCTCTTTTACAGAAATTTTACAGGCTTGATGGTTAAGGGGTTAAATTTTAAATTACTATTTATGCAAGTAGATTTGAAAGAGTAGAAGAGAGTTTGTGAACATTTACTCCCTAATCCATTTTATATATACTACAGCTTTAGTAATTTATTTTTAAACTATTCTTCAAGTTCACCTTGATTTCACTGCATCTTAGTTATGAAAATACTGTAATTGGCAGTAGTAAACATATCTTGAGTTTTTTGCTTTTGTTTTAGTATTTATAATATTTTTGTATTCTATTTCATATAAGTTAGACTATGTTACTGTTTTCAGGAGTTCTCATTAAAGTAGTTTTTTGTAATATGTTTGTAATTAGTCAAAGGGTAGGGAGAGAGAATTAGGATGTTTGGGGAAAAATAGAAGTACCTTCTGTATTTACCTGTTTAAATAAGGTGTTTCTTTATACTTTCTTTTAAACGTATTGAGGAAAGTTACAGATTATGATTAGACTTACATCATGAACTCTATATTGTGTGCTGCTATTCTGTCACAGAAGCTCTCCAAGATATAATTATTTCCTTGTTTCCATTGTAGGATGATGGGAATTCCCCCACAGCCTCGTGGTCGAGGTGGAAGAATGCCTCCGCCTGGACCCAGAAATTATGGTAGGCTTTCATTCCCACTTTCTCTTTTATCTTTTTCTTTATGTTTTGTTAATTTTTTTTGTATTAGTTTCTGTTTCTGTTTTTCCCGGCATGTAAGTTTTAGCTAGTTAAAGTTGTCCTGAGTCGTGTTTGTGATTTAACAGTCATGTTTTACCTCCCTTTCTCCACAAAAAGCAAAAAACAAATTAAAAAAGAAAATAATTGTTACTTTTGTCAGATTATGACTACGACTATTACGGGTATGGTGACTATTGTGGAGGATATGCTGATCCCTACTATGATGATTATTATGGCCCTTATGATGACTATTATGACTATGACTATGACTACGGATATGTTCCACCGCCGCCACCGCCAAGAACACGAGGAGGACCAGATAGGGTGGGTTGCCAGCATAATCTGTTTTAAACTTCACCATAATAATACCCTTATCTGCCCTCTTTTCTAATTTATCATATCCGAGCTGTAAGTTAGAAGCCGGGAAAAAACAGTTGGGTTATTATGTGTTTTAGGGTGTTAGACTAGATTCTAAAAATATTGTAACTGAAAAGAGCTCGGATATGATAATTATATATGTTGTTGTAAACAACAACTTCATATATATTCATGTAAGAGGCCTTAGTTTGTGGGTCTTGGTTTACATGTATTTTTACAAAAAATTGATTAGAAAAGGGGGCAGTATTACAACTAAATTTTACTTACAGAGTAAATTGTGAATTCCCAGTTCGATTCGTAATGTCACTGAACATCTTGGTAGTTTCTGCTAATAACTATTATCTTTACTCAAGTTCTTTGAGCGGCAGTACCATGCAGTGTATGATTTAATGATATTTTTGCTCTTGAAGATGTAATATGTTGAGTGTTTTGGGGCAGAATATGGCCAAAAAAAATCATTCAAAATAACTTTTCGTAGGATGAACTGTTTTTTAAGTATTGGGTAATGGAAGTGCACTCGTATACCAAGAGAAGAGTTCAGAGATAATACTTTCCTTTTCAACATGTAACTGTTCACATACTGGTGTGTTTTTCAGTGAGTTAATTGAAAACTTTAGTTGCAAGGCAGTTTAAAACCATTTGTATAGTAACACTTTTTAATCATTTACACGTGGTTCACTCTTAACAGAATTGCCTTTCATTTCTGTAGTTTAAAATATTTTTCAAAACATACTTACCCCCACCTCTCACACAACAGTTATTACTCAACTGCCAGGATTTCTTCCTTTGACTATGTAATCTTTGGTCTGATTTTTTCTCGCTTGCTACAGTCTTTTATACACCAGTTAATTGCCCTTGGCGATATTTGCCTCGTGACACTCTCCACCTATGTCAATGCATCCTCTATCCTTGTACTGTATTAAAGCACCTCATTAAGCTAATGTTATCACTTTTTCTCTACAGAGTGATCAGTAACGGGTTTCTCCGTATTACGATCGGTGGAAATACTTTGAGTGTTCTTAGTTTAGTTGGTTTTCATAAAATTGGGGAGTGGGTCATTCTTGGTTGTGACAGTCAGCGATCTTATTCGTAGTGAGATGGAGATGTATATTTGATTTGATAGTGTTCCTCTGAGTGGCTCTGAGGCTACAATTGACGGCAATCCTGGATATTCTGGAGAGAATTTCGATTTGCTTTTTCCTGTGTCTTCTTTTGTGCTCCTCGAAATTAGGGACTCTTAAGGTGGAGTTTGTAATTAACCTAAATAGATCAGTGTCCCCCATTGTTTTGTTTTCCTAACACTAAACTTTGTTGAAAGACTCTCAGGATCACCAACTTCATTGATGACGATCTGGAACCATTGTTAGCATGCACATTGGTTCGATTGTCACCTTCTACATTCAACCCTGTTGTCGTCGATGTCTCGATTTTCATTGGCTCCTCTAGGGGGTTATAGTTCTGCCCCCATTTGAGGGCCCCTGACATCATCCCCTTGGTACCCAGAATAGATAATGTCCATATCCAAGGGTTCTGCTGCTCAGTTGGAATGCCTCCAGCGATGTCAGTTATTATTGTATGCCTTAGGGGGTCTGTGAGGGTTCTGCTTCAAGAAATTCTGGACATGTGGTAACCTTAACCATAAATCCATGGGTGCTACAGATACTTGTTTCAGGATTAGTTATTCATTTCACATCTTCAACACCATTATCCACCCAACCTATAGTGTTTCTGTCTCCCACAGATCCTTGGATTTCAAAACTTAGTTCTAGGGCTATCAGAGTTTTATTGACCTGGGGGTAGGAGAGAGAGAGAGTCATGCCAGTTCCTCCGGGGTTTATTCCCATCAGTTTGTTGGGCCCAAGAAGACAGGAGACTGGCATCCAGTCATCAATCTTTCTCATCTATATCAGTGTGTATATTCTCCAAGGTTCACAAATGACTCATTCCTCAATCTTTTTTTTTTACTAGGATTGTGGATGTCCAAGTTTGATGTAGTCAGTGTCTATCTGCACATTGCCATAGTGGTGGTTGTCCTGCCACTATCGGAATTTTTTGCACAAGGGTCAGGTGCTGAGGCTCAGAGTTTTTAGCTTCAGACTAGCATCGGCACCACATGGGTTCTACCAAATTGTACAAGCTTTCTTTGGTCACCTCCAATCCCTAGCCCTGTGCACACACCATTTAGTGGACAGTCTGTTACTGCTGGCACAATCTCATCAGTTACCAAAACGTCACACTCTGAATCTATTTTCAGAAACAACCAAGGCAGGCATCATTCTTAGAGCTGAGACATCTATTCTTGCTCCAACTCAATATGTCACAAATCTGGGTATTTTTTGTTTTTCATTGCTTATCTCAATCCCGTTCAACCGACTTCCATCTGGCTCCACACTATGGAACAGAAAGCCCAACTCTTACTCCCCTCTCCTTCTCCCACTGCACGGATGGTTCTTTCTCTTTTGGGAATGTGGGCCTCACTTGAATCCTATATGTCTTTGGGACGAGTGCACAAGAGATCCTTTCAATGGTTTTTATGCAACCAAAGGATTATAAATCTCAATATACTGGATTCATCAGTTTCCTTATTTAGGATCATTCTTCGTTCTCGAGAGAATGATAAGTTGGAACAATAGTGAGATATGGGTTCCTCAGCTGCCATCTCATCCAGAAATCCATCTCTTAATGAATACTTCAGAGATTGGGGCATATCCCAACAATCAGGAATTCCAGGGTCTATGCACAGACAACGAGACTTACCTCTACATTTTAGTCCTCATTGTTCTTCAAAAGTTGATGCCTTATGGTCTGCGCTTATTAAGGGGAACATTGTCAAGCTATGACAATTCCATGTTGGTTTGCATTTCCCATTAAGGCGATACTTGGTTCAGGGCTTGTTTTTGACCCTTGAATTTCCTTTCTTGGAACCACTCCTATTATATCACCCCACTAGCTTGCCATGTTCCATAGGTGATGACTGCAGTAGCAGTTCAATCGTCTTGACCCAAACAGATTCTCCCAACAGAATTGACGCTGTATCTCAAGGTTTTCTGTTGGATTGATTCTCATTTTGAAACACTGATAATTGATGGGCTGGCCACTCATTGGAACACCCAACTACTGGCAATGGATGCATTTCGTCAGAATGGAATTACAACTCTAGGACTTCACTCAAGTAATATATTTACCTATGGTACTAACTGTGATTTGTTCCAACCCATTGTCGGGCCCTGTTGGTAGCACCGGATTGGCTGCTACTCCTTGGTTTCTGCTTCTGCATTACCTTTGTGAGTGCTCACCTTTTTAGCCTTCTCTGTGGAGGCAATCATGATCTGACATGGTACACCCGGCTATCCAGAAGCTCAAGCTTCAGGCATGGAAGTTATGCAGTCCTTTGCACAGCATTATGGTTTAATTTTTAGGGTTGCCATGTGTCTGTTTCAGGCTTTGCTTAGTCTGGCGATGGACATTTATCAATGGAAAAAATACACATTTTGGCAATGGTGTATTGAGAGCAGGTTGAACTTTGAATCATTGAATTGAATAAATTGGGGTTGGTTTGCTTTTAAAAATTTATGGAACTTTGTTCACCTATTGCATTGTTCCTCAGGACTCCCCAGTGTGCCCAGATTCTACTAGTGGATGGAGCTAGGGAGTCCTCACCACACCCATTTTCCAGTCACTGGGTGCTGGACAGAGGCTTTTCCTCCACTCTTGAAGAAGAGGGTGAAGTTGGGGACCCTCCTTCCTGGGTCCCCAGATGTTGGTAGGAGATGCACCAGCCTATGCGAGAGCCTACTTGTAATACCATTTCAAATTTGACACTCAGCTGTCTGGTTGAATAGAGTGGTCCCATCCTGGGTCCTTCATTGAGCACAGTTTGTTCCACATCTTCCTCATAATTCCGGGAGGCAAGTGGAATTTATTTCTCCCACACTGTTGGGGAGTGTCCATAATTCCAGACCTGATGAGCTTTGTTTTCTCTGGTTGAATAAGGCATACAAGATCCTGTCATTTCGAGCCTGGGATGTTGCCTTTCATACTTTTTCAGGTTGAGGAGAAGGTTTGTACACTTTGGTGTTGCTTACTTTCTTGTCACAATTCCGATGGCTTGGAATGCATCACTCTATGGCTACATATATATATATATATATTGAAGTCCAACTGCCTTGGCCACCAACGTGGGATATAGGGATCATTACCCTGTAATTCCAACCCCGACCAGTGGAACCTCAGCTATCTGGTTGGGACCTTGCCAGTAGTGATGACAAATCATGTAAAGCTCCACCCACAGTACATGAATTAAGTTATGTGTGAAGAGCATACCTGTTTTAGATGTTGTGCAGTTTCCCCCACTAGGGTGCCAATCTTCTGTTGACACACCCATGATCTATGCAGACACTGTATGGATAATGCCCTCACCAGCCCCTCTATCTTCTGAATGTGGGATTCTAGCTGTAGTGTGAGTGGAGGTAAATACGTTTTGGAAGTTAGCATTTTCTTAAATCAAAAATGTATTTCCAATAATACTTACCTCTTCTAACACTCCTGCCCTTCCTCCCCATTAAGAGCTGGTGTAAGAGACTGGGATTGAGTCAGTCTTGAAAAAGTGATAACATTATCTGAATGAGGTGCATTCATGTTACTGTATCCAATAATATAAAACTAACCTTTAGTCTTTACAAAGTGACCTTTCTTGGCTGTATTATAGTACACTAGTATTTTGTAAAATACAGTCACATTTCAATTATTATACATTATATATGTTTATACATTATTGCTACTTAGAAACAAGTTCTTAAACTTATTTTTCTTAAAACAGAACAGTAAATAAAGAAGTAAAGCAAACAATTATCTCTTCTAGTTACAACCTTTATACTTGGTTGCTAAGCCTTTAAAAATTTTGCACGTGGAGGATATGAAACGAAATAATTTTTTTAGGTTTTATAGATATAGTTGAATAACTAAAAAATCAAAAATTACTATATCAATTCCATAGAGTTCTGCTATAATTTGTCAAGCTTAGTAACTAAGCTGTATTTCAGTATAAAAAAATAGAAATTTCTAGCAGACTAAAGACACAACCTGTCTCCTTGAAACCTTAAATCAGAAGAAAGAGATGGCATCCTAAAAAGGCTATGAAATCCACTAGGGGGGACATTCTGAGCTTCCGATTGGTTATTCATGTCATATATAGAAGTAAGTGTACATACGGGAGCATTTTCAAGATTGGAAAGATGTGGGTGGGGTGCCACTGTGTTTGGTTTATTACATGAGCAATGTCTTAGCAAATAGAAAAGACAAGAGTTTCTTGTTTTATATTCTAGCTTATCAATATCGCCCCCCAGTGGCACAGTGGTATGTCTGCGGACTTACAACGCTAGAATCCGGGTTTCGATACCCGTGGTGGGCAGAGCACAGATAGCCCATTGTGTAGCTTTGTGCTTAATTACAAACAACTTATCAATATCGGGAATTTGAGTTCCTAATTGGAACCAGTGCTGCATTCAACATACCACATGACACACAAAAATCAATAGTTAGGTGTGTATTTTTAATATTTACTTTTAAATTAAGAAATTGAGTAACGTATAATACTAAAATTTGAATTATAATCTAGAGTTTGATACAAACTCATTGATATAAATTCATGAAATAGTAGTTCAATAAAATTTTGAATGCGAGTCAACAAACGAGATGACATGGGCTTTCACCCATGACCCATCTGGAAAGGGTTTATCAAATGTACATAATAAACAGTAATAATTAAATAGCAAAACAGAACAAAGTAACACTAACACTTAAGTCAGAAAATAAATATGGATTTCCAAATGTTACAAAAGTTATGAAAGAAAACTTGTTATTCACATTTTTTTAAAATATTGTTGATTAATTGAATGTGCCTTTGATAAAGGCATCAGCTAAATGAAAATATTTATGGATAAACAGCAAAACAAAACAGAGTAATAGTAATGCTTTAGTTAGAAAATAAACCAACGTTCAACAATACGAAAGTTAATGTTGGGACAATGTGGCTGTAAAAATATCCATTGTTTAAAACAACTTCTATTAGGTCTTGTATACTAAATATTCAATACATTTTATTGAAGCACTACAATTGCTAACTGTGCTCCATCATAATGGTCTGCTGTAGTACACAGAAGGAGCTGCTTGTATAACATTTTTGTAATGTGTTTTAACATTTGTTTAAGTAATGGGTATTATAATAACCAAAAGATTGAATTTCCAATGTGCATGGCAGTTAACATGTGATTATTATTCAAACATTCTCAACCACTTTATTTTTATAAGAGAAACACAAATCTGACACTGTTTGAATTCTCCCTGTTTATAACAACTTCTAAGCCCTGGCTAATTACACCTTCAAGCACAGTCCTGGAACTACCCTTGCAGATAGATGTTGTATTTGTGACTTTTATATCTCAGCAAATATATGTATTATATTCTAAAACCTACTTGGATCTTGTTTCTTTAGCAGAAGTACCAAAATGTATTTATGAAATAGCTTTTTGTAATTTATGGAACATTTTGAGACAAACTGAGTAACTTCCTTAAATTAGAAGTTTAAGATGCAGTATTGATTATGTTTCAGGTGCATGGTGGACATGGTGGAATGATGCCCCGTGGTCGTACCCCTGGTCTGGGTCACCCTCATGGCAGGGTTCCGGCCACTATCCCCCGAGGTCGAGGTATCCGTGGAGTG